AGTGTGTAGAAAAAAATTTGGGGACCCTCTATACCTAGAAATGTCTTTATTCTACTTTCACATTCTAATATAGCATTCTAGGTTGGAGGACAATTTTTTTTTTTTTTTGAGGGCGAGATTTTTTTGCTATAGTGTGCATGTGCTTGCTGGAGAAACAGACAGAAAACAAGAAATTACCCCCCAGGAAGATGTCCATGGTGGAATCCCTTCTCTTCCATTCTCCTCTTGAGATTTTGGGCATGCATGCACACACACACACAGCATATGGATCAAGCCTCTGAGTCCAGGACTTGAACCAGGCTTGACTACATGAAAGTCCAGGAGTCCATAACATAACCATTATGCCATCTGCTGGTCCCACTTGGAGTACATTTTCCTTACTAATTTTTTTTTTTTTTAATTGCCAGAAAGGGAGAAAGCCCTCCCTAGTAGAGCATGTTAACCTTGTAATCCAGTCTCCATTTCTCCATCCTGCTGGGATTTAGGGCACATCACACACATGCCCATTGTAGAATTTTTAAGGCATTGCTCCATTGTCTTCTAGCTTTGATTTAGTGCTATTGTTTAAAAGACTGATGTCATTCTTGTTCTTTATAATAAACCTGGATTTCCTCTTTGGAATTCCACAGATTTTACTTGTTTTTTCTGTTCTAATTTTTTATAATGATGCACATTGTTTCTATTTTTACTCAATCATATTGGGTACTCAGCATTCCTGGGAACTTGTTTTTTTGGGGTGAGAATTTTTTTAAGAATTATTTATTTAATTTTATTTATTATTATTATTTTTAATTTGGCCACAGAGAGAGAAAGAAAATGAGAGCAAGCTGCCAGGTCTGAGACCCAAATCATAGTCAGCCATGTGGGAATTCAGTGCCCTAACCATCATACCACCTGCCAGCCCTGGGCGAGAGAGTTCTTATGATTTTATTTATACTTCTCTTCCTTCCACTTTACTATGTTTACTCTTTTATAGCTCCTGTATGGATGTTATTTCTTCTGCTTTAGTTTCTCTTCTATTTTCCATTTCTGTGTCTTTTTACTCTACTTTCTGATATATTTACTGAAATTTATGTTCCAGTTACTTAGTTATATTTATTTTTGCTTTCTTAGTTTTAATTTCCATGAACTCTTTATTTTATTTTTTTCAAACTACTTTTTGAGTTATGGTTAGCACACATACTTCATGTCTAGAAATTCATGTGCTTGGAGATAAGTACACATTTATGAAACACCACAACTCATGCCATACACATTTCCATCACCTCCTTAGATTCCCTCCTACCCTCTTTATTATCTAAGATAATTAGACTCATAGAAGTAAAGGGTAGGATGGTAGTTAACAAGGACTCGATGGGGAAGGAGAAGGAAACAGGGAGATCTTTGTCAAAAAGGGCACAGTTTTAGTTGTGCAAGATGACTAAATCCTAGAGATCTATTGTACCAGAGTAGTGTTTATAATTAGTAATATTATTCTTATGTTAAGTGTTCTTATCCGTGAGCTCTTTCCTATTTATATGTTCTTTTATTGTAATTTCCTGTTCTTATTTAATAGATAAAATATGACTTCTGAGGATTTTAGTGATCTGGTTGATTTGTTGTTTTGTAATTTGTTTTTAGATTTTCGTTTTAGATTTCTAATTTTTGGCTGCCTGCTAACATTTAATCGAGAGTACCAGATTGGAAAATTTGAGTACACTGGTAGATCTTATTGACTGAGCTCTCCATTTTTAAGATGATCTCACTGGTGTCCCCTCCTAATTGTTGAAGTCATTTAGTCTTCCCTTCATGACTGCCATATTTCTGCCTTCTGCCTTCCAAAATTCTGGAAGTTATGTAGGAGAATAAAGGTAAAGGGCCTCAATATTCAGCATACAGACATTCACTTAGATTCACTGATACTCAGTTCAAAACTCCAACTCTCAACTCTGCTCTGTCTCATTTCTCCTTCACCAGAGACATCTTATTGAATTTCCTCCAGAAAATAAAGCTCTAATCTTCTGGACTAGGAAAGGATAAACACTTGCCTGAAGAGTCAGAAGGGATCGGGAGGCCTAATTCACATGTGGGCTTTCAACCTCTCTTCTGCTCCAACTTCATTTCACTTCCAGTATCTGGAGTCGCCATTCCAGAGCCTCTTGGGGATGCTTCTGTCGCTTCGGGGCTTTCTCTGTTCTTTTTCTTAGCTTCCTTAGCAGTCAAAAGATTGAAGTCTGTTACCAACTGTTCATATGCTTTCCTGCTTTCAATTTTAGTTTCTGTTGTCTCTTTTCCCAGATATATTAGTCCTTATAGATTTATACTATTTCTCTTTATTCTCATTTAGAGGATTTTCAGGAGATAGTGAAAATAAATGATTTTGTCCCATTCACCATCTTCAACAAAAAGGACTTTGCTTCTATTTTTAATCTCAAAGACTTCACAGTTTTTCTGCAACCTTCACTATAACTCTCACTTGATTTGTTTTTAAAAGTGGAAGCTGTCTTAACTGACCTTCACATAACTGGCATGCCAGATTAATGGATGCTTTCCATTCCCTCTGTAAAATACATTATGGATGCCCACTGCAAGAAATAAAAAGCTACTCTCAAGTATATTTGTATACTTCTACTCCCACCAATTGACCTGTGTGTGCTTGCAGGAGTCATTTTATTTATTTTTTTTTTCTTTTTAAAGAAGTAGGAGATTGAAATACTGGTCAATAAATTACAGGTGCGGCTATGTAAGGAGGTATCGTGAAACTCAAATCAGCCCTGTCAGAACTTCACTAATGAGTACACACAGATTTCATTTAAAATAGAAGTTTATGCTTCACGAATATTGTTTTTGTTTGGATTCTCCACTTGAACAGCTTTGTCAGTGAAATGAACCACTACCTGAATGTATTGAGTAACAGCCTGTTTTAAAATAACTTAGAAACTTCATTATATCCTGTGAGTCACATGTATGGTTCTGTTGTGTTGTGTGCTGAATTTTCTTATACTTAGTAATTGCTCTTGTTTAGTTCCAGATGTTGAAGTGAAAGGAGAATGTTCTGGCTATTATCTCTTGTTACAAGGAAATGGCACTAGAAGATGCAAAGCCACATTGCTTCACTCAGCCAACCAGATCAATGGCTCATTTGCACTCAGTTTAATTCATGGAAGGATGAAAACACAGATAGAAGAAGCCAAATTGAGTAAGTGTTCATCAGGTGGAAAAACGTTTTTACATTTTGTTTGTATGGTTAACTTATGTGGTTTTAAGTAGAAGAAATATTAGACAGTTAATGAACCAGTTTTTTTTTTTTCCCAAACAACGTTTCTCTTTTATTAATTTATGTTTTACTTTCAAACATAACAAGTTATACAATTTAGAATGTGGAGAATTTATTTCTTTTCATTATACCTGATAAAATTTAGTAGAACAGCTTTCAATTCCAGATTAGAAACTTAGTATTTTCCACCTGAAATAGGTATTATTTTTCTGTAACTTGTTTCTCATTGTTATTTACTTTCTCTCGAGTCTCTTGCTCTGTTTTTTTGCTTTCTCTTTTCTCCTAGAGCTCCAGGTTTTGGTTATCTATTGCTATATGACAAACTACCCCAAATTGAGCTTAAACACAATTTATCATTCTCTCTGATGGTGTTGGAGGGTTGAGCGGATCCAGCTGAATGTTTCTATTTTGAGATCCCATGTATGACTGCAGTCATGTACAGCTGGGGCTCCAGGCACTCGAAGACTTCACAAGGCTTCATGTCTAAGATGGCTTTTCACTCCATGTTTGGTGCCTGGGTTAGGAAGACTGGAACAAGTGAGGGCTGATTTTAACTCCCTGTGCCCTTGCAGACCCCACAGCGAGCTTGGGCCTCCTTTTATCATCATGGTCTCAGGACAGTCTGATTTGGGTTTTTTGCCTTAGGGCACATGCACAGTGGGGTTGGGGAGTAGACAGAGAGGCAGAGACAATGAGAAGGAAAGAAAGAAATCTCCTTCTGCTGGGATGGCCACATAGCCATCTTCTTCGTTCTCCTGGGTCTTGGGCATGCACGCACATGTATCTGGCACAATTTTCAAGCCACTGGGTCCATTACTCAAGCTACAGTTGGCCATGTGGGAGTCCAGTAATGTAACTGCTACACATCAGCTGGCCCCAACTCTGATTTCTTATATGGTCACTGATTTCTCCTACACAATTATTCTAAGAAGCTATAGGCTTCCTATGACCTCATTTGGAAGTAATTCAGTCTCACTTTTACTTATAGTTATATAGTACCAACTAGGTTTGCTAATTACAGTTCCAAGGAAGACTCCCAGAACATGGAGAATAGCAAAGATTATCACTATGCCAACTACCAAGATCAGGAATCTAAATACTTCTGACCCCTGCATCCTGGGCTACTGTTAGGTCCACCAAGCACTGGTTACCAATTCAAATTAGCAAGACAGAAACTGACATACAAGTCATGAGGAGCAGGTGTATTGCTTAGAGGTAGGCAGCAAGGCGTGCTGAGCTCTGGATCTATTGTGAGCCAGTTTCCTAAGGCTCCAGAATGCTGCCCAGGGTAGGCAGGGTATTGACTATGTGTGCCCCACTTGCACAGCTAGGTTTTATACTTCAGAGAACTTCCTGGGCAAAGATATAAAGGACATCCCACTTCTAGGGAAGAGTGGAACAAAGCGTGAGTGTCCTGGGCTTTTCCTGTCTCAAGGTTGTACATTCTAGTGCAGTTTACACTTACTCTGAGTATTCTAGGAAGGAAGAAAAGGGGGAAAGTCTGGGTTGGCAGTTTTCCTGGGACTGTTCTGCACATATTCTAGCCTGAATCCATTGTGGAAGGGACTGTACAAGGGGAATAGCAGAGGGTGTGCTTTGAGGAGACTGAGGAGAGGGGATATATATTTAGTGACTATCCTAATTGGCTTTATTTGAGATTCTAGAATCAGGAAACACTTTATTCCATAAAATATTACAATAAGAGTCTTTGCCATTTATATTTTCTGAGCAGATAGAAGAAAATAGGTGCAGGTAATTCTACTCTGTCATCTAAACTCCCACAATTTAAGAAACATGTCACAGTTAAAAATGCAAATAACTTAATATGTTTGTTTTCTGCTCCTTAACAACTGTTACTAGTATTATTTATTTTGAAATACATAAAAGAGAAGTGAGTGATTTATTCTTATTTTTATTTTAATCATGTCATTCATATTTCTTAGGGACTGAATATGAATCATTAGTATAAAACATTTTTAATGCTGACTTTTTTTTTCAGGCTTTCCTTTTGACTTATTATCACTTCCGCACTTTACTAAGGAGCAGGTGGTACAGAGAGAGAAGCAGTTAGCTGATGTGCAAGTTTTGGCTTTGAAAGAATGCCTGAGTAAGTAATGATTTGTGTGTTTTATCCTACTGGAAGTTGTCTCATTTAGATATGAACCGTTTTTATTTACTCACTTGTTCTTATATACTTTGCTTTTGAGGGATGACACTCATTTATAGAACTATTCTTGGTAGAGAAGATTTAGAGTCGGAGAGGTCTGCAATTATATTTTCACTAGATTCAGAATATTACTATTTAGTTAAATATTAGTAAGAAGATTTGTAATAATATTTTGCCAGACAAATTTTATGTTGTACATTTCCTTCATTTTTAACTGTATGTTAGGAAAAAAATAGTAGCTTTTTATTATTTTCATTAATATAAATCTCTTTATACAATTTGTCTTTAATTAAGATTTGGTATCAGGAATTACAATGTCAAATAAAAGAAAATGCAATTGTAGAGAAATCTGTGTGTTAACTTGAGCACTGGTTTTTAGGCTTTAATCATGACCATCATGAATAAGTAAGCACATTTCACACACTGAAGCTGGCATTGTAGTCCTTATTTGAGAAATTAACACCTTTTCAACAATGATAATTTAAGATTTTCTTTTCACACACAAATTTTAAGGATTCATTATTGCCAGTATGAACTTTTAAGCAATTCTAAGAACTTGGTTTAAATTGTGAGAGTTCCTTAGTTGATACAGGAAAAAAATGTTACTATAATTATATACTACTTATATTAAAAATTATAATTTTTCTCTTTAAAACCATTTTTTAAATGTCTTGAATTTAATATTCTGCTTTATTAAATTGAAGACAATTTTAAGATAGTCAGTCTTAGTTATCCATGTAAGCATTACAACCTTGTTCCGTTGCAAAGCCAGGGTAATTATGTAGTCTTGAACTGCTCCAACCATTGATTTTTCTTAACCAAGAAAATGATGTTCGCAGAAGGAAAATATAATTAGAAAGGCAAATCACTTTCAATTAAAGGCAGTATGGGCTAAGACCAAGAAAAAAAAATGATATTGAAATACCAGTACTTTTGTGGATTAAAAACATTTATTTCAATTAAAGGCAAACAGTATTAAGACCAAGAAAAAAAAATGATATTGAAATACCAGTACTTTTGTGGATTAAAAACATTTATTTCAAATATCAGCCAACAGTATTATTAACTTCTTGACTTTATTCCATCCTGGCCAAACACCCGTCAGGCCTTGATTTTCTTGCCTTAAGCCTTCTACAGCTTTTTATGGCTCAGTTTCTTCAGCATCTCTGCTTCTTTTCCTCTCTTTCCCATCCTTTCTCCCAGAAAAACTGTTAAGAGTATAAGAGCCGGGAGCTCTCTGAACATGGGAAAGGAAAACAGTTAACCCCAGTAGGACCATTCCTCCTTGGGGTGGAAAGGGAGACACTGACAGCTGGAACTAGGTTGCTGCCTAGAGGTGTGAGTGCAAGTCCTACTGGTGGGGAGGCATAGGAGGTGCTAAGCAGATGTGCAGCAGGTGTCAGGATGCCATAGCACTGGGTAGAGGGCAGGTAGGGAAACTGAAGCTGAAGGCAGCTCTGGAGCTAGTAGCTGCTATAAGAGATAAACCAGCATTGGGCAAATCCATGAAATGGCTAGTTTGCAATCTGAAGTATTCAGCCTTAATTTCAGATTAACAATCCAGTTTATCCATTTATGATGAAACTATTAGGTCGTTGGAAAAGTCATGAGTAATTTTCTATGCAAAAATGCATTGTGACTTTCTCAACGACCCAATACTTGCTAAACATATCTCTTCTCTACCCAGAGAGCTAATACTGGGTTAAAAAAATTTGGCCACAGGGCAGCAGGTGACATGGTGGTTAATGATGCTGGACTCCCACATGGCAGATCGCGGTTCATGTCCCAGACTTGGCGGCTTGATTTTTCATTTTCCTTTTTTCTCTGTCCCTCTCTGGTCAAATTTAAATAAATAAAAGAAAGAATGAATGTGTGAATGAATAAATAAATAAAGTTGAATAAAATAATTCTTAAAAAAATTTTGGGGGCATGTAGTTGTGTCTATTCAAAATTTCTATATCTCAAAAGACAAAGTAAATGAGAACAAAATAAGTTTGTAATGTAAGCATATCTAAGTGTCTAGTCAGTGGATTTTCAAGTAAAATGTGCATAGAAACATATTAAAATTGACACAGTTAATTCATTATACATGATGAAAACCGAAGAATATAATAGGAACTCATTTCTTTGGAAATAAAAAAAAAACAGTTCCATATCATACAGATTATAGTTCTTACATAAAAACTAATGTGTGCAAAAAGATTGCCTACAAATTATCAACAAAGCATGGTTGATCTTCCCACTGTTTCTCTGATTGCTGCCAAATTAGAAAGAACAGCTAGAAAAGTTTCCACAAAAATGTACTCACTGATGATATTATTGAATTACTTTTTTAAAAAATAAGACCAAAAACAACTTTAAGGGCCTAATTAAAAATTTTTTTTCATTAATTTGGCTTTATTTTGAAAATCATAACTAATATTCTATTAAAGTGATATTTATTTTTATTATTTTTAGAATGATTATATTGAAATGATTTCATAATTTGTAGTTTATCTAATTTTTGTGTCATTTATGACTTTTTGTATTTGAAAACAGTTTACATCTCATTTCACTGATTTTTCAAGAAAAAGAATGCCAAATGATTTTTAAATAAAAGACTGTTCAGTATGATGCAAGATAAATATCAAAATAGTAGAATTATTTTACTTCATTGTGAGCTCCCACATTTAAAAAAAAGTTCATAGAGCCCCGTGCAAATCTGATTGATCGTTAGTTTGCTAATACTTACAAGTATTCTACTTGTACGTTTCTCCTTAATAAGTCTTTACTTATTACTAGATTTTTAGGACTCATTTGCAGACTTTAGTCCAAGGTTTTTCTTCCATATCTATCTGCCACTTATGTGCATACTTATTTATATGGAGATTATTTTTTTGCCTTGGTAAATTATCCTGCTTCTAACTCATTTAAATTTATCTGTTTTCTCTCTAGTTCTCAACCATTAAAGTCAATATGAATTCTAATCTGGTTCTCCAAATTATAATGTAATTGACAGTTTTAATAAGTATAGGTCAACTTCATGACTTGAGTATTTTTTTAGCATTAATAAAAATGTAGGGGCTAATTTCTGAAGTGCATTATTCATCGTTCATCTTTCAGATGTAAGCAAACCACTGATAACTTTTCATTTTAGAACAACTCCCAGCAGATTGTGCAGAAAATTAAAAACAAAGACTGTTTATTTTCTCAGTAAGACATAATAGAGGCAGAATTTATAACCACACTCATTTTACCTTACTTGCATTTTTGACTGCAGAAAACATGTTACTTATCTTGGGATCAGATCTAGAAAGACACTACCAGTATCTACATTGGTGAGGTGAGATTTTGCAGAGGTGTGTATCATAGGGTTGATGTAGTAGAACCTCAAGACTGGTTTCTTCCTCATTATTCTACTCCGTTACAGTTGTGCTGACCTCGTATAGCCTAATGTATTATGCTTTAATCTTCAGTGTCTAAGTCCACAATGTAGTGCTTTGCAGGCAGCAAGTTCTCTATAAATGTTTATTCAATTGAATTCTCTATGAATATATCAGTTACTTTTTTATTATAGAGGAAAATGTTATTAGTTCAAAAGGGATTTTTTTCAGTCTTTTCTCACTGGGGAGAGAGAGAGAGAGAAGGCGGGGGAGAGAGAGTGAGTACCCCCTCACTACCCCACTAGGGAGAGTGGCCATGCTGTAATTCATTCTCCATTCTCCTCTCATGATGTTGGGTGTGCAACATACAGACTATGCAGTTGGTTGCCCTTTGGGATCCAGCTGCATTAACCTCCATACCATCTCTGGCCTCAGAAGTGTTTTAAAATGAAATATTTTTTATTATACTAATACATGGATAGAGTTTGGAAATTCAGATGATACTGAGGAACACCAAATGGAAAGTGGCAGTGTCCTTTCCCTCTCCTCTCCATCTCTCAGCCTGTGTCCTCAGCTCTACTAAGTCGGTTCTTCTGGCATTTCCTATTGTTTTGTAAATATTGTATATAAGCTACTATTTCTTGATTCATGCTTTTTAATTTTCAATTCAGGTATTATCTTTACACCCAGCTGTGGAAGATAAAGATTTAGCTTTTCCACAGTATCTTGACTTTCCCATTCTTTCACACTGAAATCATGATTTCGGTTAACTCCATTTACCATTAATATTGTAAGTATATGAATAAGTTTATTGCTGAGCCATCTAATAAATGATGATTAGATCTCCTTTCTTACATGCTTCTTTTGTTCTCTAACAGTTGAAAATCAACTTATTTTTAATTTGCCTACTTTCTGTACAGGCAAAATAAGGTTTTGTTTTTCCAGAGGCTCCAATATTTTTGCCACAAAATATTCAGGCACATAAGTTTCTTTTTTTTGTTTGTTTGGATTTTTTTACTAATTTTGTTTTTGGAATATATTTTTTTTCCTTGATTAGGCACTAATTGTATCATAGACTTGCTTTCACATCTTGGAGAGTTTTCTCTTCTATTGAAATCTCCTTTTCCTTAAACTTCTTATCCTCTTTTGTCCTGGTTCCTCCCTTGTTTTGTTGAACTTGCCCCATTGGAGGTTATTTGCTCTCTCTTTCTCTTCCCTGGCTAGTATACCATTCTCTGACAATTAAAAAACAGTTAAAAAGCATGACTGGCTCCTGTCTAGCTTAGTGAGTGATGGAATAGAGAGAGGAGCTAGAAGTGTTACTGAATCAGAGTCCTTACACATGTACAGATAGGGCCAGGGCAAGGCCGACTCCTCTACCCCTTCAACACCTTGCCCTCAATGTCTAGTGATTCTTTTCTGACTATTCTGTCTTAAATTGGATGTATCACATGCTTACCTCTAATACAAGATCTGGGAAGTTCCACTGTAGAGTGGTGGATGACAGTTTAATGTTTTGTTCATGAGCCTCCTCTCCCAATTCCATTATCAGTATCTAAAACTCTCTTTTTTGGAAGGCATTTACTTTTTCTTTCTTCCCTTCCTTTCATTTATTTATTTTAATTGCTGGAGGGTATGTGTGCCTGACTGCCTGCCAGAGAGAGAGAGAGAGAGAGAGAGAGAGAGAATGTACCCCCTAATGGAGTGTGGTCACATTGCAGTCTATTCCCCATTTCTCCATCCTGTTGGAATTTGGGACATAAGTGTACATACACTGTTTTTCGAGCCGCTGGGCCCAGAATCTGAACCACAGTCAGTCATGTGGGATTGGGCTGGCCTCATTTGGTTTCTCAAAAGGAGAATGCTCTGATCTTTCCAGTGGGGCATTTGTAGCTTTTAGCTCTGTGGTGGCAGGACTTGAATTTTGATATTTCGGTACAAATGGGCTTCAAAAAGTTAATGGAAAAATAAATTAAAGTACAAGGTTTTTGTTTGTTTGTGTGTTTTTGAAGTAAAATTTTTGAGGGGTCAGCTAGTGGCTTGGTGTTTAAAGCAGCTGGATCCCTCAGGGCCAACTGTGTAATTTGAGTCCATGACTCAGTGGCTTCAGAAACATACCCGTGTGTGTGCATATATGCCCAAAGTCCCAAAAGGAAAATAGAGAAGGGTTTGTGGCATGACCATGTCTCAGGGGAGGTGCTTTCTTACTTTTCCTCTCTTTGTCTCTCTCTCCTGCATGCATGTATCCTTTCTGGCAAAAATTGAAATAAAAAAATTGAAACCCTGCATAGACTTTTTTTTTTTTTTAACATAGCGGGGAATTGAAATTGACATTTTTTTCCTTCATATTTCAAATTTTTAACAATTGTGTGTGCATATATGCCCAAAGTCCCAAAAGGAAAATAGAGAAGGGTTTGTGGCATGACCATGTCTCAGGGGAGGTGCTTTCTTACTTTTCCTCTCTTTGTCTCTCTCTCCTGCATGCATGTATCCTTTCTGGCAAAAATTGAAATAAAAAAATTGAAACCCTGCATAGAACTTTTTTTTTTTTTAACATAGCAGGGAATTGTAATTGACATTTTTTTCCTTCATATTTCAAATTTTTTAACAATAGCATCTACAGTAAAAATTCAAGATTACATAAGGAAAAATATTTTAAAATATGAGTAATACGCTTTAAAGATTTTTTTAATCCTAGCAAAAGTATTAACTTATGAGAAAAAGCCTTGGGACTGTTGCATGTTTCAGTAAAGAACTTGAAATCCTGTATTTTCTAATCTTATTATATATATATAAGAAGCCATTTATTTAGAACATATTATGTGCTGAATACTGATTTAACTTGAATTTTTTTCTTTTAAATTTTTAAAAAATTTTTTCATTTCATTTTCTTCCATACATTAAATCACATTATTATTTGTCTTATAAAATAGATATTTCAACTGGTGAACATTTCTCCTTAGTACTGTTGATAAAACTATGAAATATCTTCAACAGATAATACCACACCTCTTTGTGCCATTAATTCTTTGCCTCCCTGTCCCTCCCCCTAATGTCCTTCCTCAGACCCTCCTCTTTCACACACACTATATCTGGTATTTACATCTATATACTGCGTTTCTATATCCTTTAGACAATTAGTTTCAGTCATAGAGTGCAGACACTCAGTATATATTAAGTGGGGACATACAGTGCCTCTCCTTCATAGCATAGCTTGCTTCACTCAGCAGTAAATCTTTCATATTCATCCACTTCCTGTCAAAAACCAGGGTTTTGTTGTTTTTTTATGGATGAATAGTATTCCATTGAATATATGTGCCACAGTTTTCTAACCATTCATCAGTTCCTGGGCATTTGAGTTGTTTCCATGACTTAGCAATCGTGAAAAGTGCCGCAATAAACATCGATGTACAAGCACTTTTCTGATTAGACTTTTCATAATACACATTTTCATGAACTTTCTGAAGACTTCCTCATATATAGACTTTCATTTGATTTCTTGGTTTTAATCCTGGTGTCAACATCACCTTTCAATACCAGTTGAATATATCTTGTTCCAATGCTTGGGACCAGTTGTGTTTTAGATGTCAAACTTTTTGAATTTGGAACTGTTTGTTTATGCTTAATAAGATACCTTGGAGATGGGACCCAAGTATAAACACTAATTCATTTATGTCTAATATAATAAGACTTCAAAAAGTTTTTGGGAATAAAGGAATTAAAATATGTTTGTTTTGATGCAAAAAAAATGAAATCCAGGCATAGTTTTTCATAATAAGCATTTTTCATAAATATTTTTAAGGCCCTTGTATACACCTTGTATACGTAGCCTGAAGTAATTTTATGTAGCATTTTTGTATTGCAGTATTTTGATTAGGATCCATTATATGAGGTCAAGTGTGGAAGTTTCCACTTACGGAATTTTGGATTTTGGAGTAATTTGGATATTGAGTTTTCAGATTAGAGATGCTCAACCTGTATGCCTGATGTTCTCTCATCTGGGACTACCAGATGATGAATGCAGAGTTGCCTGGTTATGGGGACTGGAGGGTGGGGGAGCCAAGAAGGCCCTGGAGTTCTAACTACTTCTACACCTGGTGCTGTTTCAGTCCAGCAGTTCACCATGGTGTGCCTATTCCCCCCGCAACAGTGCCTCTCTGCCGGCATCCAGGGTGACGTCCCATCTGCTGTACTGACTCAGTCACTTCTACTTCTTATTATTTCTGTCATCCAAAATTTGTTTGAACATGTCATTTTTTATCATTTCTTTATCTTGTTCTATCCTTTTACTGTGGTTTTAGGTTTGGGAGAAGAGAATAAAAGTGACCAAGTACCTCTATCTATCTGAAATTCTTAATAAGTTTTATTTTCAAATAGTAACATAAATCCTTTTTTAATGTTCTGCAATAGATTCCTGAAAATTTCTGTGAACTTGCCTTTATCCTTATCAACTTTTGGTGTTAACAAATTATTCTGTTGATGTCACATAGCTTGAATTTCTACCATCATAGACATAAAGGATTAAAATAAAGTGGGTCCTCGTAGAATGTTAATTTGCTGGAGAAATTAATTTGTTTTACTTTTGAAAATATTTTCTATTAAAGTTCTAGAGAGAAATTAGAAAAAGTCATACAGTTAATTGTATTGATTTGTTTTACAGAAAGGAGAAAGTTGGCAAAGCAGCCTGAAGCAGTATCTGTGAATGAACTCAAAAGTCTATTAATACTCACAAGGGAACGCTTTTTTAATCATTTTGATGCTGTTATTCCTAAAACAGTTCTAAGACAGACAGACAAAAGTAAAACCTCCAATATGTTAAAGGGTAAGTCTTTTATTGCCTTTAAAAAAATTTTTTCTTTGAGGTTTTTACCATAAAAATCAAAGTGTGTGCACTTTCTGGAAAGAGACAGAGAGAAAAAAAGTGAGAAATCACCCCTGGGGGGATGGCCATGCTTCTGTTCCTTCTCCTCCATTCTCCTCTCAAAGTTTTGGGCATAGGCACATGTGCCAGCATGATTTTCAAGCCACTGAGTCTGTACTTGAACCATGCTCAGCCATGTGGGAGGGAATCCAGTGCCTTAACCACCACACCACTTGCTGGCCTCTGTTGCTTTCAACTTTAGTTATTTCTGTGTGTGTTTGGCATCTGGTAGTTGTATTATTGTAAAACTTGTGTATTGGTCAGATGAAAATGTATTTTATATATGTAGACAGTGATGTATATTTGTATAGACAAGCATATATGTATATATACATATATATGAGTTGTACATCTCATTTAAACATTACAAACTTTTGTATATTCAGTATAGTCAGTGCCTTAATTTGTTTTGTTTTTGTTTTTGTTTTGTCTGAGAGAGAGAGAGAGAGAGTGGTATTTTTGACAGGGCCTTGCCTATCATGATCATCCTGACTCAGCTGCCCTGTTAGCTAAGATTATTGGATGCACCATCATCTTCAGCTTGTTTAGGCTGGTTCAAGAATTGAACCTAGACCTCTCATGAGGCCCCAGTCTGGGGCAGTGGCAACCTACGGCTTGTGCCACATGGCTGGGCCCAGTATAATTGTTTTGAGCCGAAGGAGAAGCATTTTAAGGTATTCCCTATTATTAGTTTACTAAGGACATGGCTGGGCCCAGTATAATTGTTTTGAGCAAAAGGAGAAGTATTTTAAGATATTCCCTATTATTAGTTTACTAAGTTTTGTATTAAGATAAATCGGTGTACACAGTGAACATTTAACACAGGTAACACTACGTATGATAAAGTACATCACCTTTGCCCTTCATTAGGGCAGAACAGTCACCAAACTTCAGTGAGGGCAAGAAATCATTTCAGCGTTTAACTGGCTTTCTATTTTTCTGGGTTCTGTTTTTTTTTTTTTTTTTAGGAGAGGTTTTCGCTATAGGGCGCATGCACTCGCCAGACAGACAGAGAGAGACATAGAGACAGAAAGCAAGAAATCATGTCACGCCGCAATCCCTTCTCCTCCATTCTCCTCTCGGGATCTGGGCACGCACGCACACCTGCCCGACGTGAGTTCTAAGCCACCGGGTCCGGGACACAAACCGCGGTCGACTACATGGGAGTCCAGCGACATAGCCATTACGCTAACTGCTGGTTCCCTGGGTTCTGTTCTTATGATGAATCTGAATAGAGTGAAACTGCACAATCGAGCAGAAAAAAAACAATTACTTGGTACAATTTTAAGTATGTAGGACTTTTTTTGTTTTGTTTTTATTCTGTGAGAATCATTTTTATTGCATGGATTAATAAAGAAATGATCTCATAATCAAATCATAATGTTTGTTCAGAGTGCCTTTTCTGTGCGTGTCATCATGAAGGTGGACAAAGAAGTAAAAAGCTTGGTATTGGACTTTCAAGGCTCGTGATCTATTTGGAAAGCAAGATGTGAAAACAGTGAATATACTACTGTGTTTAAGAGTGCAGGCTCTTAGACTGTCAGGATTCAAATCTCTGTTTTGTCATTCATTATCTAAATGTATTTAGGCAAGTTATTTAACCTGTCTCTGCCTCTGTTGCCTCATGTTCAAATGGAGGAAATAATATAAACTACTTAATAGAATTGTGAGGATTAAATAAGTTGACCCACATAAAACACTTAGAATACAGTGAGTGAAAAAACAAGTATTAGCTGTCATTTATATGGTAATTATCATTGTTACATGTGGGTACCCAGGTTAAAGTGCGGTGCAAAGTAATCTGAAAGATTCTGGAGACATTGGCAGGTTACTTGTAAATGGAGGATGTACTCAGTGAATGAGAGCGCAGCTTGGCGTTAGCAGCATGGATGTGAGCACGACTAGCAAGACTGAATACTGGCTCTGCACCTAACTTGCTGTGTGACTTTGGGTTCATTCTCTAACCTCTTTAAGTCTCAAGATTTTGCTTTTTTTTTTTTTTTTTTATCTTTAAAATAGGCACATAGAGAGGTCGCCAGGTGGTGTGGTAGTTAAGGGCATAGGAGTCCCACCTGGCCAACAATGGTTTGAGTCCTGGACCTGTTGGCTTGCTTTCTCACTTTCCCTCTCTCTGTCTCTCTCTGTCCCTCTCTGGTCAATAATTAAAAATAAATTAATAAAGTTTTTTTTAAAATAGAGACATAGATTGTTACATAGATTAGTAATTTGTAAATGGCTTAGAAAGTTGCCTGGTATGAAGTAAGTACTATATATTTAGTTAGATTCGCTATGGGGTGCATGTATTGTCTGAGAGAGACAGATGGGTGTGGGGTCGATCTATGAAATTAACCCCTCCCCCCGCCAAAGGGGATGGCCACTCCACAGTCCCTACTCTTCTATTTTTCTCTCAGGATTTTGGGCACACACACACACGTGCCTAACCTGATTTTCAAGCCTCTGGGTCTGAGACTCAAACTGCTTAGTTGGCCATGTGGGATCCAGCTGCCTTAACCTCCACACCACCCACTGGTCCAGTAAATATGAATGCAGAAGAGAGGATTGTAACAAGGGTAGAATTGTCACAGAGAACTTGTTAGGAGCTGAGGGACTTGATGTGAGTCTCGAATGATGCCTATGCTCTAGAGAAGGTACAATTTTCCAGGTAGAGGTGGCAACTTACCCAGAATAATGGAGGTAAGAAAAGATGAACTGAGAAGAAGAGAGAGTTTGATTTACCAGAGGATTTGTCTGGGAGATATGAGTGAAGGTAGGAAGGGCTCAGACAATTGCTCGGGCTTTTGTGCAAGGTAAGGGAATGTCTGTTAGAGTTCCGTATGCAAAGTCAGTTCCGGAACGCGGTTGACACACTGAGCTGCAGGAGGACTCATCGTCGCATGGAAGTCTGATTATACACTCCCTTGCTTAAACCTTTTCGTGTGCTCCCAATTGCACATAGAATTCTCGTCCTTCAGTTTCACATTTCTGTTTTCTTATTACCCAGAGAGCCTTTCCATTCCTTGGACTTCTTGCATTCTCTTCCACCTCAGGAACTTTACATATTCAGAATCCTCTGCCTGAAATCCTCCCCCCCAGCTTTGACCTGATTGCCTGATAGTTATTTTTTTGATCTCCACTTAATTATCACTTTCTCAAAGAGATTTCCCAGACTTTCCTCAGTTTGAATTATTTTCTGTAGTACTTACTCCATATGATTTTTCTTTAGATTGTTTATCACGTATTGAACTCGTGTACCATTTATGCAGTCATTTATTAAATATGTGTCTTCCCTCAGACGCCGAGTTCTCAGAGGGTAAGGAGTAAGCGTGTTCACTTCCTCTAGTATCCCCGGAGCGCAGCACAGTCCCTAGAGTGCAGGAGTGCAATCTCTGAAAGAAACCCTGAAGATTTTTAGAACCTAAACTGCGATTTGACAGTACACATATGACTATCATTCCTAAGAGTGAAGCTTTGATTTTTAACATATCCTTTAAGCTTTGATTCGAATAAGTACATCTGTTTATAAGTTATATAACAAAAGAAATTCTAAAGGTCACTCATATTTCATATTCTACCCTGTTATTTGTAACCGTGCACATTAGGCGTTATTAGCAATTGATGAGGTCCTTCGATTTGTTCGTTTTTTGTTAAAAACTGTAGCATGTTTTGTTAGACATAGAAAATACCTTAACCATGTTATTTACTCATTGTCACAAAGTTGCTAAAGACTTTCACGTGCTAAACGTGGTATCTGAACACTGTCAATGAAATTTCTTGGGGATTCTTTTTTATTTATTTTTTCTTAGTTTTTAAATTTACTATAGGGCACATTGCAGTTGCCAGAGAGACAGAAAGAGATAGAGAGATAGAAAGCGAGAAATTACCCGCCCCCCGGGGTTGGGGGGTAGATGGCCACACTGCAATCCCTTCTCTTCTATGCTCCTCTCAGGATTTTGGGCACACATGCACATGCGCTCAGTATGAGTTTAAGCTAGCAGGTCTGTGACTCGAACCGTGATCAATTGCGTGGGAGTCTAGTGATGTAACCATTACATCATCTTCTGGGCCCTAGGGGATTCTATAAGATTATAATCTTATTATTTCTGACTTAAAAAAATTAGTATATACTTAAAATTCTTGCTTTATTAAACAGAATATAGCAATTGTAATATAACCTTTTCTGTGTAATTTATTCTTAGTTAGGCATGTATGACTATAATGACCTATCTTCATTTACTATGAGATCAATGATATTACATCCTTTTTATTTGCTGTAATTTGTGATTTCGTAGGTTAATTTTCCCTATTACATTGATCTGTTTCTTTGTTTCTCTTATAAAATAAAATGCTTTCTTAAAAACAGTGTTCCTAATTTCTCAGATTTTCTTTTTGTCCTCTTTGATTGTCAGCCTGGCCTCCTGACTGCCATATGTATAAATAAAATACTGTGTGAATTACATAAAATTATTCCCCCAAATACATGACACATAAGAATATTTGACCACCCATTCCTTAATACTTAGCCTATGCTGTTCAAATTTATGCAGGTATATAGCCAAGTTAGTAATTATTTTGTAATATTTAGGAATAGGTTAAGGTTTATCTATATTTAAGATGACTTGCTTTCTTTAATAAACTCAGAGCACATAGTTATATAGAACTGCTAGTGATTTTTTCTTTATACTTTTAATGGAAAGAAAGCCATATCAACATTAAGGAACATATTATTTCATTTTCAGACTCATTATCCTATAAGATAGTTTGTCACCACCCCTATTACAAAATGGGAAGTGGTATATTTGGATGGTTTGGGGTAAGAACAATATTACCATGGAAAATGTTTATAAATATTCATGGTTAAATAGTTCAATAAGTAAAAGGAAAATAACATGCTGTTGGCTTCCATTTTCATTCATGGTATACTAAAATCTTTTGTTTAAACATTTTATTTACCAAAAATTATTTTGTAAGGCCCAAATATAAAATGCATTTTTTTGCCAGCATTAACAGGCAAAACAGCTAGTAATTTTTCAGTCAATTTATTAGAATAGTGTGTAATAGTTCAAAACAAACTTTAAAGCTAGGATGTTTTTTAATCCAAAAAGTGGTACAGTTAGTAATTTTGTCATTATTAAAACAATTTGGGGGGGACCAGCAGTTAGTGTAATGGCTATGGCGCTGGACTCCCACGTGGTCGACCACGGTTCAAGTCCCAGACCCGGTGGCTTAAAACTCACGCTGAGTGCATGTGCGTGCATGCCCAAGATCCCGAGAGGAGAATGGAGGGGAAGGGATTGTGGCATGGCCATCCCCCCTAGGGGGTGATTTCTCGCTTTCTATCTCTCTGTCTCTCTGTCTGGCTGGCGAGCACACGCGCCCTATAGCAAAAACCGCTCCAAAAAAAGAAAAATTGGGACCAGCAGATGGTATAATGGTTACATTGCTGAACTCCCATGTAGTCATCCGTGGTTTGAGTCCCAGCCCTGGTGGCTTAAAACTCAGGCTAGAGACGTGCATGCATGCCCAAAATCCCAAGAGGGGAATGGAGAAGAAGGGCTTGCAGAGTGGCCATGCCTCTGGGGAGGTGATTTCTCTCTTTCTGTCTCTCTAGTGAGCACACGTGCCCTCTAGCAAGCATCTCTTAAAAAAAGAGAGAAAAATTGGATGAGGCCAGTAGGTGGCATGGTGGTTAAGGTGCTGGACTCCAGTGGCTGACCCCAATTCGAGTCCCAAACAGGGTGGCTTGCTTTCTCTCTCTCTCTCTGTCTCTGTGTCTTTCTCTGGTCAAATTGAAGAATGATAGTGATGAATTAAATAAAAGAAATAATTCTTAAACAAAAAAGCGATTTGGGTGTACTAATAATCTACTGAGATTGGCAAGTGTCTCTTTAGATTTTTGGTGAGAATCTCAATGTTATCAGCAATCTCACTGCCAGTTCACTGCCACGTGTTTACTAGGAAGATCAGCACACCCTTACATTTGCTATTTTATTAGTAATAAAATAATACTTAATGTCAGTGACTTGACTATGTGTGTGCTAAGATATATTAATCATGAGAATTATCCTAAGGTAACCTTTACCTGATAAATTATTTATCATACTTTTGAGAATAAGATGTTCACTTTTTAAAAGATAAAGAACTTGCATTCTATTTGCGTTCATTCATGTTTCAGGTATGAAAATCACTTAGTATATCCAATATGTTCTTCACAAATTTGCCTCATTGCTCAGAACTAATTTCAGTAAATATAGTAGCTATGCTTTTATTTCTCAGGATCTGAATTCATCTTTCTAAATTCTAGTTCATAACTTTTATCATGAGAAAATGTTTTCATTTTCAACAAATTTTTCTATGGCATTTTGTACAACTCAGGCTATCAGAGAAGTCTCTATGAAATGCTTTATAGGCCAGCCAGTGGCATGGTGGTGAAGGAAGCTGGACCATGCAGTTTCAGCCTGACCATGCAGTTGGATTGGACAGTTTCAATGGCTATCTGTATTCTTTCAACCCCAGACCAATGACTTGAAAAACGTGCTAGGTGTGTGTGTATGCACGAATGCCCAAAATCCCCCCCGTAAGGGCTACTTTTCTACTTCCTCTCTCTCACCCTTCTCTCTGTCTCCCATCCTGCTCTGTCTGTCTCCTTTCTCCCCATGAGCACATGGCCCTCTTGCAGAAATTTTTTTAAAAAGTGCCTTATGTAAATATTGTGTAAGTAGCTTAACATGTCATAACACACACATACACACACATATATTTTATGTATTAATATACATTTTATGTAGCAAAATTTAGTTTGTTAATTTTTTTGCACTGCATGTATTTCTTTCTCTTAGATGCCCCTCCAGTAGAACCTGATTCTTCAAGTCTAATGGAATGCAATCCTCTGGAATGGCCAGAAAGTCATGTTCTTCAAAATTTGGAAACACTCAAAAAAGCTAAGCAAAAAATGAGGTAATAGTTGAACCTGTAATGGATCATACTATTTTTTAAGGCTCAGTATTTTTAAAGTTCTTTTTTCTTAACCTGTTGATTATTTATGAGATATAAGTAGTTAAATAGTATCTTATGGAAGTAATGCATGCTTATAATAAGTAGGTAATCAGTCAGAGGAATATATCAATTAAAAGGGAAATGCTCATCTTTCTCCACCTCCTACTGTGAGCTCCAAGTGTATGTGACCACAGTGGACATTCTGCTGTACAGTTTTTGAGACCATCTCCCATAGACACAGACACAGATGTGAATAGATAAGGGAAAATGCTTGTGTAAAATGCAGCAGAAGTCCGCTCATTTGAGCCAGTTGGAACTATTCCTGTTTTATATTTATGCATCTTTATATAGCACCTCTTAACTAATTCTAAGAGGCAAGCTTTGTTTTTGTGTGTTTTGCTTTGTTTCTTTTGGTTCAGGACATAGTAGGTACTCACTACATAATTGCCAAATGATGGAATAAAGGAGGAGGAATGCAGCTCTTATACATTGCCTTCCTCCCCCATGTTAGAAACCACATTTTTATTTTTGGCTCCTGGCTTTGCTATAACTATATTTCATATTATGTCAGTAATGATTTTTAATCACCGGCGATGTGTCAGCCACTTGAGGAGGGTATGAAGAAGAACAAGCTGTGTACTGTGCTATGCCCTTAGAGCCTGCCTTTGTTTTTGTTTTTGAGAGGTTTTTGCTATAGGGCACGTGCGCTTGTCAGAAAGACAGAGAGACAGAAAGCAAGAAGTCACTCCCCAGGAGGGATGGCCATGCTGCAATCCCTTCTCCTCCATTCTCCTCTCAGGATCTTGGGCACGCACACACACACGCCCAGTGTGAGTTTAAACCACCGGGTCTAGGACTCAAACCACGGTCAACTACATGGAAGTCCTGCCATTAGGCCAACTGCTGGTCCCCGAGCCTGCCTTTTAATGGGGGAAACAATCAAAAGCAAACAAGTGACTAGACAAGTAAATCGAATAATTGTAAATTGCGCTGTGTGGATGATTAATATAAAGGAACTGGGGACCAACAGGTGGCATGGTGGTTAAGGTGCTGGATTCCCACATGGCTGACCACAGTTCGAGTCCTGGACCTGGTGGCTTGCTTTCTGTCTCTCTCTCTCTCTCTCTCTCTCTGACTCTCTGGTAAGCACACATGTCCTATAGCAAATTAGAAAATAATAGTAATAAATACACAAGTAACAGTAAATAATTCTTTATTATTATTTTTTAATAAAGGGACTGAGGAAGAATAACTTCATTTGTTGTGGGGAAGGAAGTTGTGCTAACTTAGATGAGATGGATGGTCAGGAGGAGGCTCCATTTGAGCTGAGACTTATTGGATAGTGGGCAAACCACGTTCAGTCGTACAGGACCAAATAGGTCATCATACAGAGTTTGGATTTTATTCTAAGTATGTTGGTAAACTTTTGAAGGTTTTTATATCAAAAAGCAAAAAGCTTGTTCTTTTATGGCAGATAGAGTGTAGGAGGGAGAGATGAGCAGGGAGATCAGTTATGCGGTATTTTCTGTAGGCTAAGAGAGAGAGCTGCAATCTCAAACCATGGCCGAAGTCATGGGGCAGTGGTGAATAAATGTGGGACGTCCTGTATGTTGGAGAACAAGCTGGGAAGAGAGAACTCCTGTGAGGGACTGGACATGGAGGAGAGGGAAAGAATTCCGCCTTTGGCAACAGGTGCTTTCACTTACAAGATGGGGAGATGGGTGGGAAATTTGGGTGAGGATGGCCTTGGTGGGAAAAAAAAATCAATTTTTAAGGATGCTAAGTTTGATCTGTGAAATATCCAAGTGGAAATATCAAGAAGACTGGAGGAGAGATCTGAAACTTAATTTGGAGTTACTATCAGAAAGTTTTTAAATACATGACAGTGGAAAAGGTCACGTGATGAGACCATGAAGAGAAAAGAAAAGAAAAGAAGCCTTAAGAGCATTCTTTGGGTACCTCTGGCATCCACAGGTTAGGAGGAAGCAGGCAATCTGGAAAGAAGAGTGAGGAAAGGACATGGTTATTCACAAAGAGCCTGTTTCCTGCCTATCAATGTAGATGGCATCTTTTGACTTCTCACTATGAAAGATGAGGAAGTGAACACCCTTATTTTTCTCCCTTTTTTTATCCTCTCCCTGTCTCTGGACCTTATGTTGTTTGCAATAGATAATTATTTTTGTTCTTCCAACCATTTTTCTTAAATCTCTCTAACTTCCTACTGTCACTTGAGCTGACCCTTCATTCTAGCACAACAGTTTTCTGGATCACATTTTCAGGCTGGTTCTGTATTTTGTTGGATCTCATATCTAGAAGAGAAGTCTAATGCCAGATGAATTTTTGTTTCTCAATAGGTATTTTAGTCTGTCTCAAAAGTTTTAGAGTTTGGGGACCAGCAGTTGGTGTAATGGCTTTGTCGCTAGACTCCCACGTAGTCGACCATGGTTTGAGTCCTGGACCCAGTGGCTTAAACTCACACCGGGCACGTGTGCGTGCATGCCCAAGATCCTGAGAGGAGAATGGAGGAGAAAGGATTGCGGTGTGGCCATCCCCCCTGGGACGTGATTTCTCACTTTCTGTCTGTCTCTCTCTGTCTGTCTGGCGAGTGCACACGCCCTATAGCAAAAATCTCTCCCCAAAAAAAAGTTTTAGAGTTTTTTTAATTTTCCATATGTTCTGAAATGACCATGGTGTAGAATGTATTAGTCTTAGTTCTTTTATCCTTTTTTTTCCTCTTCCTGGGAAATACTCTATTATTTTTGCAGTAATACTCTTCCCTCTGTTTTCATTATTTCTCTCAAAATTACATGTTTTACTAATGTTAAATATCATGGATTGATTTTTGTTTTATTCTAATTTGATTTTTTTTTTCTCAGTAATCTGCTCTTTCATCTTTTCTGCTCTGTGTTCTTGTAGTATTTCCTTTACCTTCACTTTCATCTTCTCTTTTAAAATTTTGGTAACCTTATTTTAAATTCCTAATAATTTTTTTCTTGTTTCTAATTTTCACAGCATCCTGTTCTTCTTTATTAATAATGGTATTTGAGACGATCTTATAGGGATATTATTTAGCATTTTTAAAAGAATTATTTATTTATTTTTATTTATTCATTCATTTATTTTAATTTGACCAGAGAAAGACAGTGCGAGAGAGAGAGGAAATGAGAAAGCAAGCCACCAGGTCTGGGACCTGAATTGAGGACCGCCACGTGGAGTCCAGTGCCCTTAACCACCACACCACCTGCTGGTCCCTTAGTTAGCATATTTTTTTAACTTAATTTATTTATTTTTGTATGTACATTCAATCGCATTGTTTAGCTTACAATGTGAGCATTTCAATATGTGAACATTTCTCCCCAGTCCCGTTGATCAAAATATCTTCAACCGATAACACCACACTTCCCCATCCCGTCAATGTTCTCCCTCCGTATCCATTCTCCAAATGTCCTTCGTTAGGCCCCACTCCTCCTTATTTTATTTAACTTTATTCTAGTTTGACCAGAGAGGGACAGACAGAGAGAAAGAGAGAGAGAGAAAGCAAGCCACCAGGTCTGGGACCTGAACTGAGGACCGCCACGTGGAGTCCAGTGCCCTTAACCACCACACCACCTGCTGGTTCCAGTTAGCATTTTTTTAAAAAACCTGTTTTATCTGTTCCTTGAATAATTTCATTTTCCTTTGCAACATTTTTATTTGTTCTTTGGTTGTTTTTCTCTTATGTGTAGTGTTTCTCCAGAGTCTGATGGTCCTTAATTATGTGTTCTTAGCTAAGAATATTGGGCAAGGTGCTTTGTGTAGGGAGTTGGCATGTGTCCTCTCTCCCTGTGTGTGGTCCTGTTCCCCACCCCGTCTCACATGTGCTGATGTTGGGTGGTGGCAGGGTAATGCATGCCTGACAAGTTCTACTTTAGGGCACACTTTAAGGAATTAGGAGGCAGGCAGCCTTGTCCCTTTGCCCACCGTTGAATTAAGGGGCCTTTATTCTGGACTGTCACCACTGATTGGGACAGGCACATGGTACCATATCATCAGAAAACTCTGTTTCTAACTTAGAGGTGGAAGCATGAGGTTGGGGGATATAGGATGATGGTACTGCTCAACTGTTACATATGCAGTTCTTTATGTGTGTCACCTAATCCCTCTGCCTGTTGCCTCTCTGACTACAGAGTCCTACTGTGGCTTTGTGGGGAAGGAGCATGACAGATTCTACCTTTTTTCTAGGTTTCTCCCTAGTGGATGTTGAGGTACTTGCTCTATCTTATTCCTATTTTGAATTTAATTGAACTCTTTGGTTCTCCATTTTTCCCTTTTTTTTTTTCCCCTCAACCCTATTAATGAATTTAATCTCCAGTACTTCAACATTGCCATTTCAGTTTGTTTGAGTGGAGAACTTAATGTGTATATTTAATCTACCATCTTGGACTAGAAGCTTATTTGTCATTCAGGATCCTGGTCAAATATCAGGATATTTAATATTTTTATAAATACTGCAACTCAATGTGATGTTTCTTTACACCCAAGGACTATGCTATTGTACCTTTCATGAAACTTATTTTTTTATAACTTTTCTACCTCATGTTACATTGGTATATTTATTTCCTCTCACTCTCCTCACCTCCTTTTTCATATTTTAAGTCATCCTATTCAGTAAATTATAGACAGTGATTGTGGGCCTATAAATTATAGTGAACTCTTTTTAATGTCTCATAATGATACTGACAGAATAAATGCTAACTAAATACCTGTAGACCTTTCAGAAGTTGGAGAAATATTATCAAATACTTGATTGGGACACAGAGTCTGCTGTGTATTTTCAGGATTTGTTTTGTGTAAAGCAGATTTAACTAGCGAATAAAGGATCATGATATGGTGAAATTCAGAAATAATAGGAATTTGGTTTTAGGCATAGTCACTGTTGTGTGACTCTGTTGCCTCCTCTTCCACGATGAAGATTAAAAGCCTAGTCTACTTCAAAGTTGTGAAACTTTGATGAGATAATATGCGAAAAATACTTTGTAAGCTTGAAAACACTGAACAAAGTAAGGTATTGTCAGTGCTTTTATTTTGTTTTTATACCTCAGACATATCTTGGTAATATAATTTATCATAAATAGGGCTTTTAAGTCACTTTGATGTCATTGTGTTTGGGATTCTATGTAAGTGCAAGGTATACATTCCTCATTACATCTAGCCTACAGAATGACTACAATCAAGATTTCAGCCATGTAATTATCTGTGAAAATGCTTAATTTGAGTAATAATCAGTAAACAGTTGAATTAATACAAAGTTCAGGGATTAATTTTCTGTACAGATAGTAAAATATTTTATTTATGTTATGAAGGCTGCTGTGGCAATCTGTGATTTACTTGGTGACCGATAAAAACCTTTAACATTCGCTAGAATTAGTTTCTGCTTTCTAGTTTTAAAAAGTTTCTGGGAACTTCTCATGGGCTTATGGAGTTATAGTGTAGTTATAGTATATAATTTGGAGTCCGTCTGGTCTGACTCTTATTTTAGGTAGCTGTGTCACTCTGGGTCTGTGATGAAACCTATCATGTATTAATATCTTTGCCTAAAAAATAGGATAATAGTTGTTTTATAGGCTTGGTTTGCTAATTTTCACTTTACAAAGTACTTATTTTAGGTGTTCTTTATTTTGAATAAAACCTATTTTATCTTTTCAAGGGAATTTGTGAGAATTTAGAATATATTACATGTAAAGTAGTTTCTCAAAAAGTCCTGCATATATTTCAAGTAGAGTAGTGGCTCAGTGCTTATTCATAATGTCATAGTCATGGTGAGAAGAGACCTTGGCAAGGTTTCTGATTACTGTCTCATTTCATGGTTGTGCTTCAAGTAATCTTTCAAGTTCATAGGAAATTGGAACATTCAGTTCTTGCTCTCTGAAATTTACAACATTGTGGGGTCTCAAGACATACAAGAGAGTTTATATTTAAAAATTATAGAATTAGTTATTTTAAGCTGTCCCTAACTAATTAGTCACTTATTAATAATATAATTATGTTTATTTATGGGACAAAACTAAGTGACATGTAAAGATTTCACTTTGTTGTCTTTTCTTAATGTTAATTCTTCATTTTTTTTGTGTATTTTTCTCATTTTTGCTCATTCACCTTTTCCTGACTATGGTGAATTAAAATCCTTCGTTAACAAACTTAAATAACATTATTTTCCCAGAACTGGCTCATTACCTCGTTCATCTGAACAGTTGCTGGGCCATAAAGAGAGTCCACGAGATTCGATCACATTAGATGCTAAAGAACTGCTGAAATACTTTACCTCTGATGGGTTACCAGTGGGAGATCTTCAACCTTTACAGATTCAAAAGGGGTAAGCTATCAATTTATATATATTTTTGTATTTAAATTCATTTTTAAAAATTGTGTATAAGTAACATTGTATTTCATTTCCTTAATTAATTGATGCCCTGTGCTACTTGGGCAAAATTTGTGAGTGTAAACCCAGTTTGCCAGTTGGCCTTAATCCCACATTTTACCTTAGTCAAGTGCCCTACCATTTTGTGGTAGGAAGTAAGAACAACCTCATCATATTCCTTACAAAAATCAGTAGTTTCTACTTTGACACAATACGTTTTTTATAAAAAGTTAGAATTTGACTTGCAAATTTTTTTTAATTCCCCTTTCTGTGTTACTCTCTAGTATTTATTTTGCCATTGCTTCGCATGAACATTGTCAGTCATGCCTAATTGTAGCAAAAAACAGTGTTTCAACTGAAGAGAATAGGAAAGTGATAAAAATGCTTTTGAAATTGTAACATAGCCAAGGAAGAACTCTAAATTTACATGAATAATTTACAACCAGTTTTACTTTCAAGACAACTCCACTAAGTTACCACTTATTAAATGCTGGATGTTGCAAAAATTGACCAAATTATGGGTAAAATTTTGACATCAAATACAGAATTGAATAATTTGTCTGTTATCCCAATTTATTTTTAATTGTTAATCCATTTTTTTAAACTTTATTTATTTATTTATTTACTTAATTTAGTTTGACCAGAGGGACAGAGAGAGAGAGAAAGTGAGAAAGCAAGCCACTGGGTCCAATACTCGAACTGTGATTGGTCATATGGGAATCCAGTTCCCTTAACCACAACATCACCTACTGGCCCTAATAATCCATTATTTTGATACCTTCCAAAGAACCTTAAAAATTGTAGACCCCTTTGGGGCCAGCCAATGGCATAGTGGTTTAATTGGCTAGATCCCACATGACCAACTGTGCAGTTTGAGACCCAGACCTGGCAGCTTCAAAAACACTGGGTACCTGTGAGTATGTGCCAAAAATTCCAAGAGGAAAATGGAGGAGAAGGGATTATGGCATGGACATTCCCCCAGCTGGTATTTTCTCTCTCTCTCGCTCTCTCCCTCTCTCTGTCTCTCCTCCTCTCTCTTTCTCTCTCTAGCAAGTGCACATGCCTTTTAGTAAATTTTTAAAAAAAGAAACCTGTGACTCGCTTTGATCACTTGTACAGAGCTGGTTCAACTATGACACATACTGGTTTTAAAGGTGAGTTTAAGAAAGGATTTATTTGAAAGTAGTTGTAGTTCAATAATTTTTTTAAAGCATTATTACCTTAATGTGTGAGTTCATGAAAGAGATAGGAAACAACTTTACAAACTTGAGGGTCTTAGTAACTCTGAGTCTTGATGATGTTATGGCCTTAATGACATAAAAAATATTTAGGGTAATTTTTCATTTCTCACAGCTTTGAGAAATTGATAACATTTTGTGGTAATCAAAGTATAGAGTACATGTGTTTTCATCTGTTTTGTTATTGGATTACTTTCTTTTCAAATCATTAACTACAAACTGACAGTCAAATAGGGTTGCCAAAACTAAATTGCTTATGTAGGTTATACTCTTTTTGAAACGAATATCTTTCTAGATATGGTAGTTAATTGTTTATTTAATTATTGATTTATTTAGGAAAGTTTTATATGATACTTCAATGTTTATAAAGACCTGCATCATTAGCAAATATACCTTCTAGTAACATTAAAATTGAAGAATGAGTTTTCATGGCCATCAATAAGGACCCTGTGTGCTCTTACTAAATGTCTACCTGTGTGAGGGGCCATCCAGAATGCTTTATTAAATTAAACAAAACGTAAGCTTTACTTTTAAGTATTTACCAAAGAAATAACAAACATTAGTCAAACACATATTCATTAGAACGTCTCTTTTAGAAATAACAAATTGTAAGTGAAATTAAATGAAAATAGGTAAAGTTGCTTAGAGGGATTAAAATGAAAAATAGAGACAACTTAGTAAATGAAAGAAGTGAAGTGTTAGATACTTGAAGAGTTCTATTATACATGACAAAATTATTTATTTTAATAGTTGTCAAAGGGGACCAGCAGATGGCATAATGGTTACATCACTGGACTCCCACGTAGTTGACCGTGATTGGAGTCCTGGACCCGGTGACTTCAAACTCATGCCGGGCACGTGTATGTGCTTGCCCAAGTTCTCAGGAGGAGAATAAAGAAGGGATTGTGGTGTGGCTATCCCTCGTGGGGAGTGATTTCTTGCTTTGTCTCTTGGTCTTTCTCTGTCTCTCCAGCAAGTACATACACCCTATAGTAAAAAATCTCTCTTGAAAAACACAGATAATTGTCAGAATCCTGGAGTTGTTGCAATTTACTTGTTTTACTTTTTGGTAGAACCCTTTAAATTTAAATGGATGCATTAATATATAAAGTCTGTTTTTTAGGATTAATTGGCATGTTTTACATTTTAATGTAATAATTTTAAATTCTTTTCAGAGTACCCTAGATAACTTATAGTGACAGTGGACAGTTTTTTTTAAAACAATTATTTTATATATCTTTATTTATTTTAATTTGACCAGAGAGAGACAGAGTGAAAGAGAGAGAGACAGAAAGTGAGAAAGCAAGCCACCAGGTCTGGGACTCGAACCATGGTCAGCCATGTGGAAGTCCAGCATCGTTAATCACCACACCCCCTGCCAACCCCAAGGATAATTCTTATTATGAAGACCACAGGGAGAAAATGTGATTGCAAATTTATTCTCAGTACTCTACTGGTCTGTCTGCATATCATTTTTCAATTCTTCTGAATTGAAGCCCATGGTATTTCATTGTGCTTATTAACTGTGTTAAGACCACTGTGAAAATGATCATCCCATTCCCATCTAACAAGTTGTGAGCTTCAGGGCTGTGATCAATTATAGCAGAATAGTGGTTCTCCCCTCAGACAGAGAAGGACAGCACCTATGAGAATAAACTGGAAAACTTAATCTATTGGCAGACTTCCGTATTCCCCAGATTTTTATATGCTCCTGCAGATATGCCTGTGGAAGGGGTAGGCCATGAATATTTTATGTAAGCTCAACGTATGATTAGTTCTAACATACCTGCTGATTGAAAACCTGCTTCGGAAGGACTGAAGTCAGCAGTCTTCAGGTTCTCTGATTCTTAAAAATCTGCTGACTCTTAAAGTAGGTGTCATGATGACTTCATTCTCAAAGAAAGAGCTGGATCCCACATGTCTTATAACAGGAAGTAAACAGTGCTTTTGTTAGCAAAGATTCAAGTTGACTTTAATTTTCCTCTGCAAAAAAGGATTTAACTAAACACATAAACATTAGTTCACTCGACCAATAAAAAAATCTTTTATTTATAATATTGTTTCTAGGGTATCCATTATAAACCATTTTCTCTTCTTGATTTCTTTATGTCTCATAATGGTTTTGTTTAATAGGTAATATTCTAATTTTAGAAACTTGAGGCACAGAAAATGTTAATGACAAAACTATAGGCCTCACCTTGCTTCATTTCCTTCTTATGCTTTTCTGGGGTACTCTAACTTTTATTGATTTGTACAAGAGGAAGATTTGTTTCTTTAGAAACTCTAACTTTCTCATTGTCACTAAGTAAACCTTAAATATAATTGAAAAACGTTTTATTTCAGAGAAAAGACTTTTGCTCTGACACCTGAACTCAGTCCTCGAAAACTTCAGGTCTTACCTTTTGAAAAAGCCTCAGTGTGTCATTATCATGGAATTGAGTAAGTTTTTGTTTATAGTTTACTCTGCTGCATGTTATTGATGTAGATTCTGTCATGTGCGTTTGAACAATGGCTGTAATAAATGATAGAGGTCCAGCCCCATAGTCTAGCACATAAGTCCTGCCGTAAGAAGCTGGATCCCACATAGCAGCCACAGTTTGAGTCCTAGCCTACTGCTACCCAGGGTCTTGGCAGTATAGATAAAGAGGAAGGGGTTGTAGTGTGACTGCACTCTATTGGGTGGTATTCCCCTACCCGTACCAGCACAAGTTCACACGCCCCTTGGCAATGTAAATAAGTAAGTAAATAAAACTAAAATAATATAAATGGAGACAGAGACAGAGAGTATGTCAAAAGCCGTAAAAAATAAAGTACTACATACTCAAATAACTTCTCTTCTATTAAAGAAAAAGATATTTGGGGATTAATCAATTTTACAGCATGTCTAGTAGACATTTTAATAAAAATTATTCAGGTTTCTACATTGTAAATAAATGCATATTTATTTATGAAATGTATCCCTATTTTTAACATGTTAATTACGTGTATATTTTTATAAAATTGTAGTTGGTAATTTTCAACAATTTTTTTTTTTTGAGAGGATTTTGCTATAGGGTGTGTGCACTTGCCAGAAAGAAAGAAACAGAGAGACAAAAAGCAAGAAATCACCCCCCTTCCCAGGGGAATGACCATGCCACAGTACCTTCTCCATTCTCCTCTTGTGATCTTGGGCGCACACACACACACGTGCCCAGTGTGAGTTTAAGCTACTGAGTCTGGGACTCAAACAGCGTTCGACTACATGGAAGTTCAGCGACATAGCCATTACGCCAACTGCTGGTCCCATCAATAAAAATTTTTAACATGTTCTCCTCCATATAGATATTAGCAATTTCTTTTTTTTTTTTTTGGAGAGGTTTTTGCTATAGGACGTGTGTGCTCACCAGAAGGACAGAAAGAGACTGAAAGCGAGAAATCACCCCTCAGGTGGAATGGCCACGCTGCAATCCCTTCTCCTCCATTCTCCTCTCGGGATCTTGGGCTCGCACACACACGCGCCTGGTGTGAGTTCAAGCCACCGGGTCCGGGACACTAACTGCAGTTGACTGCATGGGAGTCCAGCGACATAGCCATTATGCTAACTGCTGCTGTTGGTATTAGCAATTTCTGAGGTCATATGCACACATACCATTTTCAGGACAGGAAATAGATTTAATTTACAATAAATTTTCAAGAACTTGGTGATTCATTTTATAAAATGTTTTAATTTTTTAAGCCAAGCATTATTTTTACATTGACTTTCCATTAATGAGAACAGGAAAATACTTTTATCTTTATAGAAGCACAGATCCTAGTCAAAGGAAATAGCATTGTTTTGAATAAGCATTGTTGTTTTGTAATGAGTATATTATATGGTACCAAGACCAAGTTATGCTGTCATGAAGATCATGATTAACATGGCAGGGAGAATGACATTGTACTTTATTATTATTATTTTTTTTAATGAGAGAGACAGCACATGCGAGAAAGACAGGCAGGTATTTTTTAAGGGTCTTGTCAAATGACAATCCACTTGCCCCTGTCTCCCAGCTAGCTAGGAACACAGGCTGAACTGCTGAGCTTGGCCTATTTAGATTGGGCCAGGAATCAAACCCTGGCATCCCATGCACTCTCAGCCATTACACCCTGTGACAGGGCCAACTTCTATTTCTGAGGCGGTAAAAAGCCTCTTTAAAAATGCCTGAAATTGGGGGAACCAGCAGTTAGCGTAATGGCTATGTCGCTGGACTCCCACGTAGTCGACCGCGATTCGTGTCCCGGACCCGGTGGCTTAAAACTCACGCCGGGCGCGTGTGCATGCGTGCCCAAGATCCCAAGAGGAGAATGGAGGAGAAGGGATTGCGGCGTGACCATCCCCCCTGGGGGGTGATTTCTCGCTTTCTGTCTCTATGTCTCTCTCTGTCTGGCGAGCGCATGCGCACTCACACCGGGTATGTGTGCGTGCAGGCCTAAAATCTCAAGAGCAGAAAGGAAAAGAAACCATGCTGTGGCCTTCGCTGTAAGGGGCCATCGCTGTCATTCTCTGTCTCTCTGGTGAGTGTGCGCACCCTATGGCGAAAATCTTTACAAATAAATAAATAATTAAAAAAATAAACAGCAGAGAGAGAGGGGTCTGAAATAATACAGACTGATGTAAAAATGGGTAACAGTGGAAGCTGGACAGGGGAACTCTACTTTTGTATATATTTTTTAAAAACGGGTTGAACTGCTCTTTTTTCTACATATTTGTGGCTATACCTTCCTAAACTCAATGATGCAATTAAGGGATTTACTTCTTAAGGACTCCTGCAAAAGCCAGCCATAGTGTGAAAGACCACAGCTGCCCACAATCTGTACTCCCGGTACATCTGACCATGATGCTCCGCAGCGGCGGGCGCCAGCCCCCTAAATGAAAAAACTCTAAAAAAAAAAAAAAAAAAAAAAAAGCCTGAAATTAAATACTTGGGTTTTTGCTATTGAAAAGAATGATCAGTTCAGGCAGTAGTAGCATGGTAGCCTACCATGGGGTGGACAGACCCCTCATGGCCAACTGCGATTTGTGTCCAGGATTCTGTGGCTTCAGAACAAGCCAGGAATATGTACATGTGTGCCCAAAATCCTGGCAGGACAAGTGGAAGAGAAGGGATTATGGCATGGACATCCTCCTGGGGAGTGATTTCTCTCTCTCTCTCTCTCTGGTGAGTACCTACACTCTGAAAAATTAAAAAAAAAAAAAAAAAAAAAAGGCAGAGAAAAGAAATTTCACTGTCAAGACCAGCAGTTGGCATAATGGTATGTCACTGGACTCCCATGGTTTGAGTTCTGGACTCAGTGGCTTAAACTCACGCCGGGCGCGTGTACATGTGTGCCCAAGATCCCAAGAGGAGAATGGAGGAGAAGGGATTGCAGTGTGGCCAACCCCCCTTGGAGGGTGATTTATCTCTTTCTATCTCTCTCTGCCTTTCTAGTGAGTGCACACATCCTACAGCCAAAAAAAAAAAAAAACTCTAAAAAAAAAGAAATTTCATTGTCTTTTGATAGATTGAATTACTTCATAACAGGGATGTGTTCTAAGAGATTGTTAGTTTGTTGCTGTGTGAACATCACGGAATGTATTTACACAATCCTTGATGGTATTGCCCATAACACACCTAGCTATTACAGTATAACCGTATGCTCTTTATGGGACCGCCGTCACATACATGGTCCCAGAAAGAGCATATCGTCTCTTTTTGATCAGGACATCATTACAGTGTCTGACTATATTTCAAACAAGATATATTAGACTAAAAGATTATCTAGATGGTGAAAATAGGAAAGAAAATACAATCTTAAGAGCTAAGAAACTTAAGGCAGTTAGATGTTGGGGGTGAGAAAGAAGGTGATGATGGTGCAGTTATGAAATTATGGGAAACACAGCAAAACATTGTAGGAATGTTTGATTCCTTACTATATTTAAATAGGATTTAGTGCATTTAAGGAGGACTTATGAAAAGTTTGACACTAGATGCAAGATACTTAGTGACTTTATTTTTGAACATAAAATCAAGCTTTCCATTTAAAGTTGGGTGCAAGAAAAAGGTACTTGCTGCTACCACTTAAATCTATTTTTTATTTTTTTTTTATGATAGCATGTATGTATGCACACAAGCAAGAGAGAGAAAAAGAGAGAAGCACCCTCAGTTAGGTCTTCTCACTCTGTGATCCCCTTTTCCTAGCCTCCAGCTCATTATGACCTTGGGTGCCCAAGCACACACGTTTTCATGCTGACCCAGGAGTCAGATATGTGGCTTCCAGCACTGCCGTTCTCTACACTGTGGTCTATACCACCTAGGTTAGGGCTGCCACCTTTTTTAAACCATTCGTCCTATGTTCTAGAGCTAAAATAATAAAGCTGAAGGGTGACATGCATTGACAAGGAGATCATAATTAGTTGTTTTGTTTTGCTTTTGCAGAGAAGAGATCTGAAAGACAATTAGAAGTAGTAAGAGAAAAAGAAAGAAAAAAAATAGAATTTGCAAAGTGGCCAATGATTAAAACACATATAAAAGCACTTGTTTTTCTCTAAATTAGTCATCTCTGACTTTAAGCACAATCAGAAAAAAATCCCATTCAGAATCACAAATAAAATCATAAATATTAGAAGTAAAGCAAGAAATGTAGGATGAAAAAAATTACCCCCTAAAGGAAGGGACATAATAAAGTAATTTGGACATGGGTGCCCAAAATCCTGAGAGGATAGTGGAAGAGAAGAGATTGCGGTGTGACCATTTTCCCTGGCGTGATTTCTTGTTTTCTGTCTCTCCTTCTTTCTCTGTTTCTCCAGCAAGTGTACACACCCTATAGCAAAAATCTCTCTCATAAAAGCAAAAACAAGGGAACCAGCAGTTAGCGTAATGGCTATGTCGCTGGATTCCCACGTAGTCGACCGTGGTTCGTGTCCCGGACCTGGTGGCTTAAATCTCACGCCGGGCGCGTGTGAGTGCGTGCCCAAGATCCTGAGAGGAGAATGGAGGAGAAGGGTTTGTTGCGACATGACCATCCCCCCTGGGGGGTGATTTCTCGCTTTCTGTCTCTATGTCTCTCTCTTGTCTGTATGGCAAGCGCATGTGCCCTATAGCGAGAAAAAAAAAAAAAAAACAGTAATGAGGAACAAAATACTAATATATGCAACAACAGTATGAACATCTGTGTGTGAGAAAATGCTTTAAATGAGATTTTGAGCTGATCACCTGGTGGTTAAAGCAGCTGGATCCCACATAGCCAGCTACACTGTTTGAGTCCCAGACCTGACAGCTCGACAGACAAGCCCATTACATGTTCCTACCCAAAATCCTGAAAAGAGAGAGAGATGGAAGAGAAGGGATTGTGGCCTGACCTTTTCTCATGAGGGGTGGTTTCATCTTTCTTGGGTGAGTGCATGCTCCTTCCAAAAAAGAACATTTTTTTTTTTTTAAAAG